GTGCGAGTCGTTCTGAACATCACCTCTTGAGTTTTGATCACTCCCCACCCCACCTGTCCGGATGTAGGGCAAGAGCTGCAAGGCCACCAGGAGGAGCAACAGAAGCGTGGAAAAGAAAGCCCAGGGTGGGCTGGGTGGGGGATTCCCCCGGAACTGTGCTGGCAGCGGCGACGGGTTCATAGAGATGGGCAGCTGGGAGGATGTAGAGTCCATCAACAAGCCTTCCAACTGGTCAAGGAGCATCTGTTCAATGGAGGTTGAAGCCAAGGAGATCTGCTGCACGCCTACTTTGAACTCATTCCACACTTCTTGGATCACTCGGAACACCACGGCAGCGCAGGCACGGATAACCATCCGGATCAGTGCTGCCACCAAGAGCGCTACCAGGCGCGGGAAGGCCAAGCAGAGCAATGCCACCATCAAAGTCCTCCAATGAGCCATGCACCATCCAGCGCATAGCTCAGCTCCCTTCATAAACCGTGACAGATTCCAAGCTGCAGACCCCGCTGAGGCTTGTGTGGTTCTGTCACTATTCATAGGTATGGCATCTGTGACTGGGGGCTCATCCGGAGCCCGCACAGGTGCTGGTTTCAACCAACCAGGGCGGATCATATGCAAGCTATTGATCAACCGAGCAAAGGCAGCTGAGATTCGGCGACTTTCCGAGCCGCTACGCCACCGAGCTGCCTGATCCCTGAAACGAGGATCACTCAAAGCACTCACCTCCTCTGTTCCAAGCTGCCCGGCAGCCTGAGTCACAACAGCTAGCATTGAATCTGCTTCCGGCTGGCTAGCCGGCACCATCTGCGCTGCACTCACTGCAGGAGCTCTGGAAGGGGCAACCCTGGGAAGTGCTCTTCCCACATCAGCTGAGCTTGCTCTCGGTTGGCGACTCTGCGCAAGCGGGCCCCGCTGCCTGCTAGGCGCCCGCCGGGGAGCACTCGTTCCACGGCTGCCCATGTCTCAGGTGAAAGGCCTGAGGCGTAACCCACAGGTCCACCACCCGGGTTTGACAGCACCAAGTAGTGACGGATCTCTGGAGTAGCCGGGGTGTAGGTGATGCTCACTGGAGTAGCAGCACTCTTGGCCTTTGGCTTGGCCTGGGCTTTTGGCACCGGTAGTGGCGCCTGGGCAGCCGAAGTCACAACCAAAAGCTCACCTGTTGCAGCGTCCAGCTGCTCGGCCAACTCACCCGCAACAAACTCCCACTCTGGAGTCTCACGGAACTCTCGGAGAGCAAAGGTCAAGCCCTCAAGAGCTTCAGCCAAACGTTGCACCATCCTAACGCTGGGCCAGAAGAGAGCTAAGGCTTGAGCAAGGTGGTTGCCGTAAGAGCTCGCTTCGTAACAGCACTTCATCCAGCTTCTGCTTGGCAGCTGCTTCCAAATTTCCCATGACATGTGCTGAAAAAGCTGTGTGCAAATAATGTTGGAGGGTGGTGGCTGATTTCCACCGGCCAGCAAACTGCAAAGCACCTAGATTCTGATCTCGTCTGAAAAGGTATGTAGCTCCCCCAGTGCGAAAAGATCCCAAAGTGAAGTGACACGACGAAAGATCTAGCCGATGACATACATGTCGAAAACGTGTATCCCAAAGATAGCGAGATAGCTTAAATAGTGGTGCACCACGTCTTTGATTCATAGTCCACCAACGTAACCATGCAACCAGAGCTTGATCATGGGAGAGCACAAATTGATTCTTCCATACCCGCTTGGTCTTCGGCTCACGAACCACAACCACTAAACCTTGATCAGCCACTCCTACTTCTTCACGTTCCGGAAAACATAGATCACAAACCCTCAGTCGTAGTAGCTCTGAAGGTCTCAGCATGCAAGCAAAAGCCAGCCACGAACCCAGTGCTGACGCCCACCACACATAGCGCTCCCGGCCCACCACCTGTTTCCCTTCAGCTAATAGTACAAGCAATACTGCATCCAGACAATACCTGGTAATAGGCACCCTTGAGCTTGAAGGCACCAACTGTCTCCAGCCACGCACAGCTGCCCATGCACCACGTAGTAATGGACCAGAAAGTTTCAAACCTTTTTGAATACCCAGCACCCCAAGTGTCACCCAATGCAGCCTCTCACCAGTACGGTAGCATTCTTCCACTGCCTTCTCCAGCCACCTGTCCACCACGTGAGGAGGGGAACCTTGATGAAGCCGACCACCCAAACCTTCAACCACACCCACCATCCATGCTCCTGCATCCCGTAGACTACGCCGGTAGCTGCGGCTGAGGCCTGCCGTCCCCAACCGCACCATCTCTCCAAACCACGTACGCTTCAGCCAGTTCAGCACAGAAACCCAGAGGATAAGCACCCGCTCGCTTCGCACGAGGCCCACGCAAAGGAGGTCCATGCACCATACATCCCGGACATTGACGCACCACTGGAGCCAACCAGCCATAGGAAGATAATAACCGAATAGGCTTCTTAGTAGGTAAACCAGTACGGTCATCATCATACGCACACCAATGTACGGTAAAGCACTTCATCAGGGGATGGGAAAGTAGAGGTTGGTTTTCATCCAAAAGCCAAGCCTTACTCCCTAAAGGATGCTCCAAACAGACTGGAATCCCACGCTCCAACGCCATCCATGCCAGTTGAAGTGCCCGCATCCACAAAGCATTCCCCAACCTGATCTCTGGATTTGTAGGATCACCTTCAGGGCAACCTTTGGGACGAAGAGGGCCACCATAATCCAAATTCCGCAGAGGACTGAATGATCCACAAGGAGGAGAAAGCCAAACAAAGGCAACCAAACCTGCCAGCAGCAAAGCATCAATAGAGCTATCAAAGGCATCCCTTCCCATGTCGATTTCCACCGGTTCATGCATCTCCACCCCAACCCTCCGGAAAGCCGCAGTTAACCTCGCTGTACCTGCAAAGATTTCAATCCCAGCCCGCGGAGCCGCAGCCACTCCCAAGAGTTCCAACCACCGAGGTACTGGAGCAGGAGGAGGTAGAACCACAAAACGAGAGGGGTAGTCTGCGATGTTGCTTGCTGTCTCCACCCATAGTAATCCCAGAGTAACCCCTGAAAAGATCAAGAAAGGTAACATAGATCGTAGAATACCGTTCAGCTTGAAGGAACTGGACCGACCCTTGGCAAAAGCCCCCACACATACTCGACTATCGTTGAGACAGAGCTGTATGGTGTTGATGTTCGAAGGACTGGATGCCAACTTAACTACTTCCCGCTTCAAAGCCCTAGCTTCCTGTAAGTTGATATGTGAAGTCTGCCGAAAACTGTAGCTAGCTGTGACTCTCCATGGCAAGCATTCTGAAACTGCACTGGCAAAAACCGAAGGCTCCTTAGGAGCTTTTTCACTCACCAGCATTTCGTCCATGGCAGTGCGGTCCAAACGCACACACTCGCCACGTGTCTCAGCTTGTCGCCACAGGGCTCGCAACAAGGCTTCTGGAGCCGGTGCCATCACCGCACCACCCGATATGGGTGTCGCATCTGTAGCCAGAATTTCTTGGCTAAACTTCTTCCGCATGTTCCACTTACAAAAAGGCAAATGGATGGCCATACTCATCAACTCATCACGAATGAAGTGGGGTAACCAGCAAGGTTTAGTAGCATGCATACTGTCCATATACTTGTAGATGTGGTGCTGCAATGAAAAACACTCACGTCTGTATTGGAATATAAAACATGCAAAACCCATCAGCTTCTGTAAGGTATGTAGAGTACAAAAACCTCCATGTGCCACTCGTCGCAAAAGCTGCCAGAGCTGTTGTCTGACTTGAAGTGGGGCACCAACGGTGCCGATAACGCCTCTCACCTCCGCACCCCAGGCCTTGAAGTCAGCTTCCGCTCGAAAGGACTTGTGCTCAGCCCTCGGAAGCCCGACATCACGGTAGGCTTTCTCAGCAGCGGCAACTCGCAGCATGTCAGGGTCTTTGTCCTGTGCCGGCGGTGGCCGAAAACTGCCGTCCAAAGGGATAGGGTGAGGAGCACTCATCTTGTAAGTAACCAGCAAGTCATCTAAATAGATACCTTCCCACAATGGACCATCTGGAACGGGGTGACCATAAACCAGTGTAGTATCGGGAACCAGCAACCCTTCTCGTCGGAGCACAGCTTCATGCACTGCCTGAGCTATATCACAGGCATTCACATCGCCCATGCCCAATACCCGGAAACAAGCTCTGTAAGGTTTGTTGATATCCCCTCCAAACTGTTTCACCAGCTCAGGTGCAACCCGTCTCCCAACCGCATTGTGTCGTACCCAATTCTCTGGCAGTCGAAGAGCATAGTAGTAGTTACGCAAGTCATCTCCAGAGCCACGGACATACTCGTTGTCCCCAAGCAACATACGGCTGAAGCAAGCACCAGCCGGCAAATGAGCCCAGGTTAACTTCTGCATTGTGGCGTTTTGGGGACGCCGATCAAAAATGAGCCTATCTTCATTTTCATTCTTTCCTACTGCAAACAACCCTCCTATGAGCAGTCTACCATGGTTATCACGAGGTATATCCTCTTCAGGAACCAGGCTAACCATGTTGGTTTCCAACAGTCTCTTCATAAGCCCGGCCTCCTCCAGAGGAGCAACTTTGTGACAAGCTTTCACCACCTCCCGCCACAAAGTCTCGGGCAACTTCAACTGCTCGAGGTTGTCAACCACTGCCGCCTGTTCAGGAGGCAGAAGACTCGAAGGGTCCACGCTGCCAGCCTGAGCGGGTATACCAATCCTGTCCGCCACGACTGGTAAGGCAACAGTCGCTGCACTTTTCAACTGAGAAGCCCTAAGGCCCCCATATGCACCTGTACATGCCAAGTGCGCCACCTCAGCCTCCAGGGCCTGACGCTTGCCAGTACATGTCAGCTTATGACAGCGCAACTCGTCTGTCGCAAATTCCGCCACCTCGCCAAGCAAACCATCAGCATAGGCCCGAGCTTCGCTCATGCACCGATAGCCCACCCGCGGCTCAAATGCAGACCCCCCAGAGTCAGGACTGCCCAAGCAAAGAAAATTGGACCACGCAACCAGCTCATTGAGATAGGCTTTGCTCCAAAGTTCCCGACTTAGGTTCGCACTGACTCCTCCCCACTCTGCTTCGAAGACCTCAGGGTAGGGGAGTGCACTCGGAAAGAGTGGCACCTGATCACCGGAAAGCTCCAGCAAGGTACCTTGGGCGCTTTTAAACCATGAATAGTACTTCGCAAAAGATGAATTCTCATGCCATAGCAAAGGCCTGTCCAGCCCTTCAAAGGAGTTGCAGCGGGAAGGAACCGATCCGGAGTAACAGCGGTCAAACTGACATGTCCCCTTCACGGATCCCGCCCCCTGCGACTCCTCAGAGGGTAAGGCCCCTTCTGCTTGAGCGAGGCTTAGTCCTCCTCCTCGCCCTTCCCATGCCCCGCCGCCTGCGCCTCCTTGACCTGCTTGCGGATCTTCTGAAGGGCATTCACATACCCTGACACCACCGCAAGCTCCTCCTTTGTTCCTCCGAACTCCTTTTTGCTGAGCGGGTCTGCAATGCCCGTCAGCAGCCATGCCGACGACCAATCGCCGTTCTGGATGACGCTCTGCATCTTGGCCTTCATGTTTTGCACGAGCTGTGCGGTCCCGGCCTCGACTTGACCGGACCGCAACAGCTCGTACGCCGCAGCATCCATCACCGCACATCTGTAAATTCCTTTGAATTTCCCCCAATGCTGCTTTCGAAGGTAATCTTTGAGGGTCCAACTCTGGCCTGGAATCACTCCCAACTCGGTGGTCACTTCGTGCTCGAACTCCTGGATCACACGACGAGGATGCCGCAATGTGCGGCGATGCAACCGGTGAAGGG